AAGATTTCTTTACCTAAATATACCTATTATAATAAGTAAAATTAGTAAATATTAAATACTTTTTACCTGCCTAAAAATAATAAATATAAGGTATATTAGCTTTTTTATTAGTAAACTTAATAGAAAGTATAAGAATTTAGATTTTATAATCCTTATAAAATAACTATTTAAATATATAATTAAATATTATAAGATATAATAATAAAAGGTTTAAGTTAGACCTTACTAAAAGAAGACTAATATTAATTAAGATAATAGGCCTTAAGGGTAAGATTATTAAAGGGGAGAGATTATATTATAATCCTAGCAGTTATATTATATATACCTTATAATTTCTCTACTTAACCTATTAACTAAGGAAGAACTAATACTTATAAGACTAATAGTATTCTAGGATTATATTATTCTAAGATTAATAGCAACCTTATATTATATTATTCCTATAAGACTACTTCTAATATATAAATTATATTTATTAATACTTTTATAAAACTTAGCTTATTAGTTATTAATAAAGCTTTTTTATATTAATTAAGCCTAATATATATTAAATCTACTATTAAGAGATATAACACTTTAATAAGCTTAGTTATATGCCTTATATAATCTACTAATAATAAACCTAGTATGGCTTAATTTATTTATAGTTAGGAACCAACCTATTATAACTAGGCTTAGGCTATAATTAAGGCAGCTAATTATAATAATATTAACTTAATAAAGCTTTGCCTACTAAGGGGTAATAAATATTTAAATTATATTAGGTTTTAGTTATACTTAGATATATCTTTTAAGACTAACTTATAAACTTAAAAAAATAAATTAATATAAGCTTTTACTTTTATTAATATAGTTTTATTTTATTTATATTTTCTATTAGATTTAAACCTATATCTGCTTAATACTTAAGAAAGATTTCTCTTTAGGTAGTTAAAACCTCTTATTATCTAAGGATCTAAATTAACTCTTTCTTTAAGTAATACCCTAATAATAATAACATGCTCTCTAACTGCAGCCTAAGACCGTGGAGTTTATCTAGTAGTATTAATAAAATCCGGCTTTTCTTCACTTGCATGGCACAGTAGCTCAAAAATACCATGACCTCTATGTTCTGCAGCATAGCCCAGAGGGCTAAGTCCTTTGAAGTATCCACTGACTTGGACAGCCGGGTTTGCGCCGTTTTCGAGTAACAGTCGGACAACGTTCTTGTGGCCCCCCTGTGTTGCAAGGATGATTGCCGTTCCTAGGCAGTCATTTCTTGACATGGGCTGGTATTCCATCGCAGCGCCGTTTTCTAATAACAGGTGGACGATATCCTTGCGGCCCACGTGCGCGGCGCGAAACAACTCGAGCTGTATGAAGTCGAGTCCCCATTTTACCAATAACTGAGTAACCCGAAAACACCCTTTCTCTACGGCGAATGACAGTGGCGTCCATCCGGCTTGTCTTTTGTTGGTACATGGTGAATATGGGTCAGCTTTGTATTGAAGCAATATCTCAGCTGCTGCTGCATGCCCAAACTCTGCAGCATAAGAGAGAGGAGTTCTGCCGTGACTATCTGCAGCATCTACTGCTTTTCCAAATTCAAGAAGTTTACGAACAAGCTTCTCTAGTCCGAAATACGCCGCCAAGTGAAGCGTAGTTAATGACTCAGGAGGTGTGGCGAAGTAGTCATGATTTTTGAAAGCCTCACTGACCATAAGTACTTCTGCTGACTTCACAAGCCTCGCTCCAGTGGTGAGAAGGTCCATAAGTTCGTCCTCGGAAATTGCAGACTCACGAGCGTGGTGGCCCCAATGCTTTGCTGCATAGTGATAGAATGGCCACCGCTTTAGACGCGATTTCAGGATGGCCCACCCTCCATTATGATTATGGCTCGCTTCGAAAGAACTGAAGGACAGATAAGAGATGCAAGTTCTCGTGATATCCCTTTCTGTCATTGGGAGCAATTCCGCAGGCCTTTGCTTGAGATACTCTTGGGCTGTATAGTGAACCAGTCTGATAATCTTCCTGTTCTCGTCGATGGTCACCAGCCCAGCGCAGACGGAGACTAATCTACCATCATATGGCAGGTCTGCATCACTAGCTTCGCGGTGAAGTGAGCTCGTTGCCAGAGCATGCTGGAGTTCCTTGACTGTGAGCTCTCTCTTGGCATATGATAGCCACCCCAGCACCTGTTTCGCAAGCAAGGCATGTTTAGGCTGCTGCTGTTTGATCCTGTCCATGGTTTGTCTATAGGCATCTGCAAGTGCTTCTGTCTTCTCCTCGCCTTGGTCTTTCCGACTCGCGAAAGCTGCCAATTGATGCCGAATCTCGGTTTCTGAATCTTGATAGCATAGTAAGTTGAGATAAACCTGTGCTAAAAGAAACCTGTCGACCTTTAGTATAGGATAGGATTGTCTATGGACTCATAACTTACATTCCTTCCGCAGAGCTTGCGATTCCTTCTTTGATAGCTTCTCTTAGATCTTTGTTCTCCTGCACGGCAGGGGGTAGTACGTCGACCTTTCCATCGACATACGTTTCTATATCCTCTGTAGCTGCCTCAATCTCTATCCTCGTCACACTCCTGAAGGCCTCTTCAACTTCCAAGGTGATCCACTTGTCAAAACGTGAGGTCATAAAGATATTGATCTGGTATTCCCTCTGAAGCTGATCGAGCTTTTGGAAAAAGGGTTTCCGTGAGCTTCCAGTGACACTGTACTCATCAAGAGCATCAACCACAATGAAAACCCTCGAATACTTCGCAATGACCTTTCTTAGAACGTAGATAATGTCTTCGTATGTTGGACGGGTTAGTTCTTTCTCGTGTTTATGATAGAGATCAACGACTTCTTCTGGCATGGAAGCCAATTTTCCAGCAAGCTGTTTGAGCAGGCTCAAAAGAAGCCTATCAAGGGTCTGTTCTTTTTGTCGCTGAAAGCTGAAATAGATATATGCTATACCAATATTCGACTCATCGAAGACACTTGACCAAAGGTCGTCAATGACGAGTGATGTTAGAATAGTTTTGCCGGCCCCTGGGATGCCTAGGCAAAAGAGAGTTTGGCTTTTTGTAGTTAGCCAAGCTCGAAATTTGTCCATCTTAGGCAGCCAACCGCCGGTTCCAGGTTGCCTAAGGCTTCGGTATTGGCTGTGTTGTAGGCCATAGTTAACCTCAGTGAGCCAGTCTAGAATGTAGTTATCATCATTTTTTTGTTGTCTGGCTTTAATCTCGGTAACATCTTGTTGTGTTTCGGACACGATGGAATGAACTGTACCTCAGTCAGAATCTGTCTCCTGACTACGCCTAGAAGCAACTTACCATTCTCTAATAAGTCCTTCAATGGTCGCTCGCCTTCTAATTCTCTCGCCTGGACATACTGCAAAAGCTCTTTTGCAAATGCTGCAGCTATAATAGCTGCATATTCTTGCCAATCCTTATTCTTATGTGAGTCCGCATAGTCGCATATACCTCGAATAATAAGGCAAGGGAACTGGTTCATTAGTCCTGCAGCCTCCATTTCGATACAGAGGACATTTCCTCCTAAGTCTTTATTCAGTTTATTCCGGGAAGCAGCGTCTTTAATGAGCTTATCACCTGAGGCAATAAGACCATAATGAACGACCATATCCCTAGGGTTCCTCTTGACCGTCATATTCTTATCACAAAGACTGCAGCTTTCCTCCTCTTCGTCGTTTTCTTCCAGTTCTTCGTCCCCGTCATTATCTTGTTCCCGGGCAGACTTTAGGACGTGACTATAACTCGACTTGAACAATACGTCTCTGAGCGAACCAGTCCGCAAACATTTAGAGGCTAACTTGGGCCACTTTTGTTTCAGATCTTCGAGATAATTCGGGATCTCACTACCATTCAGATTGTGTTGCGTTTCTAGTAACGTTAACGCTGTTAGAAGCGCCTGAGGTGGGTTATTCAGTGAGCCTGTCCGCTCAAATTTCTCTTCCCCATGAACCTTGCCAGAATCCCACTTGATAACTCCCGAGGAAGTGCCAGTAGATGTGCTAACAACGACGTCGCCGAGCCGAACTTTATTAGATGGAACACCTCCACCAACGCCAACCATAAGACCTACTTTGATAAACGGGAATGTGTTTGCCATAGAGCTAGCAACTGTTGCTGCTGATATATTGCCTATCATGCCTTTAGGGAGACATGTTATCACAATATTATGGTCTCTGATTGACCCAAGGGTGTATGCGTTATTATCACTTGGCAGCTTCGTCAATGGCGGATGTTGCTGGTCCAGCATGGCAGTCGCAGCTGTAAGCTCTTTCGGTAGCGCACAGATCCATCCCATGGTATAATCATTGTGGGTCAGGGCAGTGTCGCTCTTCTCCCCCTTGGAGGTGGTTTCACCAACGCCTTCGTCTCTTTTTCCTTTATTGTCCATTAGAAGATTAAGCTATTGAGCTGGTGCTGTGCTAGAGAGCGAGAAATAGTATTATTGCTTAGCCGTAGAAAGCAGCATAAGTGATAATAGGAACTAATTATATGACAGATGACAATGGATAATATAAGCCAGATTGAATTTAGATAATTAAGTAGCTAAAAACCGGATAGTGTTTAGGGTTAAATTAGGCTGCTAAGCGAGATTGATGACACGCCTGAATGCTAAATTCCAGCTTAGCTTAATTATGTCAGCAACGAGTTCTGAGTGGGAGCCCATACCTGTGCCGAGCCTGGTATACCTATTAACACGTGACCTCTATACCAGGTCCCCCTATTATAATGCCAATAAGCCATAATCTTATTAAATTATAATAAAAAATAATAGCCTCTTAATTAACTATTTTAATATCTTTTTAATTATAATCTTTATATTATTTTTTTTATTTAATTATAATAAATATATATATATCTTTAATTTCCTTCCTTAATAATATAATATTATCTAAAGGTAAATATAACTTACTAGAGGTATTATATATAAATATTAACATATAAGCTACTTTAAGAGGATATGCCTTTATAACCCTATAGTCCTAGGTCTTTAAGGGAAAAAAGAATATTATTTTTATATATAATTAAAAAGGAGGTTTTATATATTAATTATTAATAAGGTAAAAAGAAATAAGTTATTATATATATTACCTTTTTTTTATAAATATAAAAGAAAATATTATTAGTTTTCTTTTTATAAGGTATTAAGTTAATTTAAATTTTTTTTTTTTTTTTAAGTTTATAAGTCAGCCTTAAAAGGTATATCTAAGTATCTCTAAAGTCTAATATAATTTAAATATTTATTACCCCTTAGCAGGCAAAGCTTTATTAAGTTAATATTATTATAGTTAGCTGCCTTAATTATAGCCTAAACCTAGCTGCATATAACCCAGCTAGAGAGCCTTACTTACTCTTCAGCTGGCCCTAATCTTCTTCCTGCAACCTACTTCAAAGGTCTTTCGCCGACCCCTGCAGATACCACGCTTAAATTATCTACTGCGCTTCCACAGTAAGTAATCCGATCCGACTTCCTCTATACCTTCTAATTATAACTGCTAACAGCATTATAGCTGCCCTATTGCAATACTCCGAAGAAGCCTACGGCCACCTAGGCCTAATAAGCCCTACTTAATAAAAGATTATAATATAATCCAAATAATTAAAAGAGCTCTCTTAAGCGCTAAGTAGAGTAATATAATAAGCTTTATATAATAGCTGCTAAAATTAAAGTAGCCTAGATAATTAAAAATAATATTAGCTATATTAGGCTAGCCCTTTTTAGCTATAAGGTCCTCTGGCTTATATAGTTATATCTTTATATCCCTTAGATTAGTAAGGCCTTCCTTAATATTAAGATAAAGAGTCTTAAGACTCTTAGATAAGTACTAAATAGAGGCTACCTATAAAGAAAATAAAATAAGTTCCTAAAAAAACTTTATAGCAGCTTATATAATAAGTGGCTTTATAATATTAGGAAGTAGGTAATAGAGGTACTGCTTTTGTTAAAGGAGATCGGCGACCTATAATATATAGACCAGGCTAATTATAATCTTAAACTATAGTATAACTAAGACGAGGGGGATAGCATGCTATAATATAAATAGAAGATAAGTAATTATAGGGTTTTATAGGAAGAAAATATATTAAGTTTTATATAAGTTTAGTTACCTAAAGTTAAAGACCTAAAGTTATAATATTGGCATTAGCGGCGTAAAGAGGATTAATTAGATTATAGGATATAATATATAATAGACTTAATAGATTAGCCAAATATTAGTATACTATTAATATAAATAAGGGTTTTAAAATATTATAAATATAATTATCTTCTTAGTTTTAATATTATTATATATTTTTTTTATTATTAAACTAGCCTGAAAGATAAAATATAAATATAAAATATAAATAAGGCTAATATATTACCTAAGAATATATATTTTTTTTTAAGTTTATAAGTTAGCCTTAAAAGTTATATTTAAATATATTTAAAGTATAATATAATTTAAATATTTCTTATTCCTTAGTAGGTAAAGTTTTATTAAGTTAATATTATTATAATTAGCTGCCTTAATTATAGCCTTACCCTAGTTATAATATTAGTATTAGTAATATAAGGAGGGTTAAATAAGTTATAAGATATAATATATAATATATTTAATAAATTAGCTAAATATTAATATACTTTTAATATAAATAAAAAAAAAAGGGTAATTATAATATTTTATAAAAAAAAAAATATATTAAGTTTTATATAAATTTAGCCTAGTTTAAACTACTGCCTTTTTACTAACTTTACTTTATTTATTTTTATATATAAGGTTAATTAGGCACATGCCCTATTATATATATTTAATTAATAGAGGTTATAATTCCTTTAAACCTCTTACTATTATAATTAACTTATTAACTATTCTAAATAAGCAGAGTTAACCTAATTCTTTTAACTTTCTATATAACCCTGCCTTTACCCTATGTTTATTTAACTTTATATATAAACTCCCTATCTATAAGCCCTAGCTGTAATGAAGGTGGTTTTAAATAGGGAAACTAGTCCGTACTAGGTTTATATTTGCAGATAGCATAGGGCGTTAAATACTAAGCAGGTTGGTTATTACGTCTCTTAATAATTAAGTAATACTTATTAGGCTTATTAATATAAAGAAGTCTTATTAATAGCTAGTAAGCTAAGTTCTATCTAGGTACTAATAAATATATATATATATTAGAAGTGGCCTTATGGCTTAGTAGAGAATATAAGTAATCTAAGGGTTAGATCTATGGGGATTAGTTATAATCCATAGTGATCCAGTCTTGGAGCGTCGTGATCCAAGTGATCTAATAGAAGAGGATTATTACCAGGAGAAGTAATCCTACGGTGATTAGTGAAAATTATAGGGGCCATGTGACGTAGGCGCGGGGGTCATAACACTAGCTATACTCTTATAGTTTAAGACTATAATTAGGCTAGTTTATATATTATTAATTTAGGAGTAGCTCCCTCTTAATAGTAATAACCCTTTTAAATATATTAAAGAGCTACTTTTTATATATAATTAAACCTATAAAGGTAATAAGAAAGGCTACTTAGTTTAATTAAAGGTAATAACCTTCCCTTAGGCTTCTTTTTATATCTTTAAGACCCAATAGCTTAGAATTAACCTAGTTTAAATTAATTAAATTAATATAATATTTTTAATTTATATAACTAATTAGTTAAATTAGGCTATAATTAAAGATAATTATTTTAATAAAGTTAAATTTATATCTTAATAAGAAGTTCTTTTTAATAGTAATTACTATTATATAAATCTCTTTAAGTTTTTTTTTATTAGTTATATTTAAGGCAGGCCTAATAATTAAATTAAAGTTATAGCTAGTTATAAAATAAATATAATTATATAGCTATAGGCTATTTTATATAATAGGCATTAAGATAATATAATTATTATTATTTTTTTTAAGTTTATAAGTTAGCCTTAAAAGATATATTTAAGTATTTCTAAAGTCTAATATAATTTAAATATTTATTACCCCTTAGTAGGCAAAGCTTTATTAAGTTAATATTATTATAATTAGCTGCCTTAATTATAGCCTAAACCTAGCTATATATAACCTAGCTAGAAAGCCTTATTTACTTTTTAGCTAGCCCTAATCTTCTTCCTATAACTTACTTTAAAGGCATACTTAAATTATTTATTATACTTCTATAATAAGTAATCTAATTTAAATACCTTTTAATTATAATTACTAATAATATTATAGCTGCCTTATTGCAATGCCTATTATCTAAAGAAGCCTATAATTACCTAGGCCTAATAAACCCTATTTAATAAAAGATTATAATATAATTTAAATAATTAAAAGAACTCTCTTAAGCACTAAGTAAAGTAATTATAATAAGCTTTATATAATAGCTATTAAAATTAAAATAGCCTAGATAATTAAAAATAAGATTAGTTATATTAGGCTAGCCTTTTTTAGTTATAAGGTCTTCTGGCTTATATAGCTATATCTTTATATCCCTTAGATTAATAAGGCCTTCCTTAATACTAAAATAAAATACCTTAAAACTCTTAGATAGGTATTAAATAAAAGCTACCTATAGAAAAGGTAGAATAAGTTCTTAAAGAAACTTTATAATAGCTTATATAATAAGTAGCTTTATAATATTAAGAAGTAGGTAATAAAGGTATTACTTTTATTAAAGGAGCTTAATAACCTATAAAAACTAGGCTAATTATAGTCTTAAATTATAATATAAAGATAAGGGGGATAGTATATTATAATATAAATAAAAAATAAGTAATTATAAGATTTAAAAAGTTAAGAAGAAAATATATTAAGTTTTATATAAGTTTAATTACCTAAAGTTAAAGACCTAAAGTTATAATATTAGTATTAATAGTATAAAGAGGGTTAATTAGGTTATAGGATATAATATATAATAAAGTTAATAGATTAGCTAAATATTAATATATTATTAATATAAATAAGGGAGTATAACTATTATATTATTAATAAAAAGGGTTAAAAGCTAGGTTAAGAAACTTACTTATAAGTTTATACTTAATTACTTACTTAGTTAAGGCCTAATTAACCTTTAAGTAGAAGTATAATAAATAAATTAAGTATATCCTTTAGGTAGGATAAAGAAAAAAAGGTAACTTAGCTACTAAGAGGTAATTAGTATTAATACTACCTAGTTAAGGCAGTAATTATATTATTAAGGCAAATAAACCTTATCTAATTTTAAATTTTATAATAATAGCCTGCTATAAGGGTCTTATTATTTAAGCCTGTATAAAAAAGTTAAAAAGCTTAATAGCCTTATATAAGGCTAATAGTAAGGGGAAAAAAATATAAATTTAATTATTTAAAGTTAAAGACTTTAAATTATAATATTAATATTAGTAATATAAAAAGGGTTAAATAAGTTATAAGATATAATAT